TAATATAGTATCATGAATTCCTTCACTTTCACAACAAAAAAATAATTAGTAAAGTATTGAATTGAAACAAAGCACTTTTTACACAACGATAAATAAAGTTCCCGTTTAATATACGCTTACGTTGTTTAGAAAAATTAGATATGTTACTCTGTTAAGTAGTTTAAAACATTTGGGAACATTTGGTCCTTTTGAAAATATGTATTATAAGTTTTAACAATACGGACTAATTTTTACAATTGGAATTTTGTTTGGTTTTTAGCACTGATTTAAATTAACTATAACATTTACATTTCGAATTTATACAATATCCATCATTTTTAACTGAACGTAGTCTACTTATTTAATGTATAATTTCATGTTAAATTTTACTTGTTATATTTTTGGGTGTTATTGTCCTCTCATCACAAACAAACTCACGACTGTTTTAATGAAAATCGTTTACGTCTAAACTGAATGAATACAAAACAATTGAGATTAACAAGGTGTACATAGCATTGTAAGGACATTCATTTCAATGACGAAAGACACGATCACAACTTATCTCAGCATAAAAATTTTACCTAATCAGAGTTTTTGTAATTGAGTTGGAGGAACCATGAAAACTAGCGATTCGTCACGTTCAGAAGCCATTGTATACGGCAGGAGGCCTATATTAAACTAATCTTAACTAATCTTAACTTTTCAACAGGGACATATTAATTAAAACCTTCGTTTGTTTTTCAAAATGAATTAGAATTCAAAACCTCACGTAAAGTGTGATAAAAATGTTTACCCTGAACCATAAAACAACTGAAGTTTAATTAAAACAAGTAGTAAATCTGTGAGCGTCACTTACAGGCCGTATTCAGAAATGGCAAAGTTTTATCATTACGCAAAGCAGAACAACTGCGTGCAGATATCTTAAATTAATGCAATATTTATTCTAATCAAATATATGAACAATTCGGCAGTGTAGTGTGTACCTAATGTTACATTGGCGTATACAAACTGCCTTTAAAAGTCGTGCATACGTATATACAGATTATCAGTGGCGTCGCTAGGTCGGGTGTTTTCCAGTGCAGCAGCACATTATGGTGTCACCCCCTCCTTCCCCCTAAAAAAATTATATACAAACACACACACACACACACACACACATATATATATATATATATATATATATATATATATATATATATATATATATATATATATATATATATATATATATATATATATATATATATATATATATATATATATATATACTAAATGTAATAAGTTCGTATAGTTTTTTTTGTCTGTTCCTCTTGATCAAAGCGTATGTATAGAACTGAAAAATACGTATTTATGTAGAGGATAATGTTCATTTTTCCAAAAAATGTTATTCACGCATATTTAATTAAAGACGATAATTTACGTATTAATATATTGATTTGTAGAAACTCACAATCTATATACTACTAAAAGTCAAGTTTGTTTACATGTTTGAATATTTATTTTTTTGTTTGTTTGTTTGCCTGATCGACTATCTCGCATGGTTGCACTTATCGTGGAAAGCTGTAAAATAGTATGTAGGTAGAGAATAATTTTTTAATGCAGACAGACTGTTAATCACAAATGTATTTAAAGACGTTAATTAATTTATTGATTTATTCATAGTTAAATTAACCGTATTTTTTAAAAAATGTTAATACTTTGAATAAACTTTGTGGGGATAGTGACGTCCCTTGATGTGTTTACTTTTTGGTTCAATAAAAATGGCGGACTCCATCATAGACTTTGTGGCCCATTCAAAAGTTTAACGCGTTACAAAGCTAATTTTCTGCCGGCTATAACTTAAACAATACGTCCGTTTGCTGTATTTATTACGTTCCAACACTTATATCAATTTTAAACTGTCTTTTTTCATTTAGTTTTACAATAAATTTCTCTAGATCTAAAGATCAGCTGTCGAAGGAAAGTTATTTATAGATCTAGATCTAGATCTAGAATCTAAGTCAAATCAAATCTAATTTTCTGTCGGTCATAACTTTAACAATACGTCCGTTTGCTGTATTTATTACGTTCCAACACTTATATCAATTTTCAACTGTCTTTTTTCATTTAGTTTTACAATAAATTTCTCTAGATCTACAATCTGTCCAAGAAAGTTATTTATTTATAGATCTAGATCTAGAATCTAGAATCTAAATCTAGAAATCTAGGTCAAATCAAAAATTTATTAGTTATAGATCTTAATACAAACCAAAAAAGAAACGAGACTTAAGCAAACCAGTCGTAGATCTAGAATATAGATAATTCTATCTAGATTTAGATAATAATGAGTTTCTATATACTAAAATATTTTAGACCTTTATTATTTTGTATAAATCTTTGTTTCGACTATGCAAATTTTGAAGTGCTGGCTCCAGGGCGTATTTGCGCAGCTTAAGATTCATACGCTGCTTCTATACCGGAATTTTGCTAAATTATAAACGTAAATTCTAAATATAGCTCAGTCGTAGATCTAAAATATAGATAATTCTATCTAGATTTAGATAAAAGCGATTTTCTATATACTAAACTATTTTAGACCTTTATTATTTTATATAAATCTTTGTTTGGAATATGGTAATTTTGAAATGCTCGCTCCGGGCCTATCAGCGTAGCTAATGATTAGATCTAGATCTAGATCTAGATTCTAGATCTAGCAAGAAAAAATAAACTTAAGACCTAAGCAAGCGAGTCGTAGAATCTAGATCTAGATAATTCTATCTAGATCTAGCTAATTTCAGAACTTCTTTATTTTATATAAATCTTTGTTTGGCTAATTTAAGATAAAATTTAATTTGAAAGTTTCATAAGGAGACTCAAAGTATAGTATAAAAATTCACTTGTGACGTGAAGAGTAAATAGCTATGTTGGTAGAGTTGTCGGCTCTCATGCAATTGGCACGGGTTCTAGACCAATGTCAATGATATTTTTGTTTTCAATTTTTTTTTTAGATGTGAATGATAAAGTTGCCTATCTGAACTTGGTAGGATAGAGGGCAGGTGAAGTAGAGTTCATCTGTTTCTTTGTCCTAAGCATATGAAAGGATAGTGTGGTCAGAGACATGCTCGGCTGGAATTGTTTTTTAAACGATAAAAACATGTTGTCTGAGACTTGGCGGGACACTGGGCAGGTGAAGTAGAGTTGGGTAGGTCACCTGTGACGTCAGTATATGAAGGGATAGTCCGAAATCGGTGTTTTCGGTGTATTTAAAAGATAAAAAACATATTTTTTAATGTGGGGTCTGTTTTTTGTGACGATAAGTGACACTGAAGTAGCGTAGCGAGGAGGGGGGGGGGGGGGGCGGGAGGGGGAGGGGAAGCGGGGGGGGGGGGGGGGGGGAAGGGGAGGTGGAGGGGGGCGGGGGGGGGACATATGTTGGGGCGTCAAAATGGTTTGGAAAAATAAATTGAAAGGTTGAGGGGGGTGCAAATCGAAAGGTTGAGGGGGGTGCAAATCGAAAGTTTGAGTGGGGGGGGGGGTGCACATCAAAAGTTTGAGGGGGGGGGGGGGGGGTTGCAAATCGAAATCTTGCGTGGGGGGGGGGGGTTCAAATCGAAAAGTTTGTCCCCGGGCGCTGGGAAGGGTCGCTATGCCTCTGAGTGACAGACGTGATGTTTTTTAAAGGATGACCCCGAAACCCACAGTGATCCAAGGGATGACGGGTAGTCTAGTTATTTATAAAAGTTCAGAACAAATACTTTATTTACCTATTATCACAACAAACATGGCTGCCATGGAAGACCATGAATCCTATGCAACAGTTTAACGCATTATAAAGCTAAATTTTCTGTAGGCTATAGATTTAACGATACGTCTGTTTGCTATTTATTTAGGTTCCAACACTATTTTCAATTTTTGATAACATTCTTCTAATTTGAGTATACAATAAAGTTATCTAGATCTACCTATAAACTAGATTCAAACAGTCAAATGAAAGTAGGCCAAACTAAAATTAATTAGTTTTAAGAAAAAGATGTTTAAAAATAATTAAGTTTCTATATTAAACTATATTAGTCCTTGAATATTTGATATTAATATTTTTTTTTGCAATGGAATCGTTTAAATTAGGATATAATTTAATTGAAATTAACATTTGGCTTCATTTTACTTTCTCAAAGTATTTTCTCCTATCAATATCTGGCTGCGTGGCAAAGTTGACAGTGTATGGATGCTATTTTAAAATGTTGTGGGTCCGAAACCCATGCAGTCAAGATTTAAAAAAAAAATCTTCACTTAGGCAGCAGAAAATCCCAATACACGCCAATGTGTTACTTATTGCAATCATTTGGACAGTAGATTTAATGATATATTTATTTCTTATTTCTATGATGTTCGAGGTCAGAGGGAGCGGCCGTTTTCCCGAAAGACACTTGCCCGAATACGACAAACGCCGAATGGACACTTGCCCAGTAAATGACTTCTAGTTTTAAGACAGATATTTATGTAAGCAGCAAGTCTGTGTACAAACGTGAATGAATTAATGACAATTAAATATTGCATATTAATATTAATCTAATGTTTAATCAGTTGCAAGTAAGCCCTACAAGGAGAAAATGTCAAATACAAGTGTGTCGTTTACCGTTGGATGTAAAATCTGATGTAACGATTCGAGTCTATTACACAATGATGTAACAAGATTGAATTGGCCATCAGAGGGATAGACTTTCGTCCATTCTAAAACAGACAGACATGTTCACTACGCATTGTTTCAGCTTGTTTTAAAACGGACTAAACAATATTTAAAAGTTTGCAATGTAGATTCAGCAGTAGATTTATGGATACAATTTAAAAATGCTGAAGTATTTTTTTAAATAAATTTAAAAATTTTAACCGATTTGCACCCAATCATGATTTAATTTCGCCTTAATCTAGAATAAAAATAATTATTTCCCTGTGTCTTATCTCATTCTGGTAAGTAGTTTACATGAATTGCTGATAAGAACTAATATATAAAGGGCCTTATACTGCGAAAGACGCTGTAGTTGAGTATATCTGGCCATCCATAAGTGACAAGGTGACTATATCTATGCATATATATATATATATATATATATATATATATATATATATATATATATATATATATATATATATATATATATATATATATATATATATATATATATATATATATATATATATATATATTCTATATAATTTAGTATATACTTTAGTATATACATATGTAGAGGATAGCTCAGTTTAGCGCTAAACTTAATCTGAAAGTCTCAGGCTACATCCTGTGCTCGAGTCTTGCTTAAGTTTTCTCAGCTTCAATGGTACTTAACAAATGTCGCTGAAAGTACACGTAGCTTGGTAAAGATATTGACATATTATTATTATATAAACTACAGACCGTGAGAAAGTATTTTTGAACATTGTTCTTAATTATAATATCATTATTTTTCTAGGTTTTTTAAAGTCAAGAAAATGTACATCTTTCTACTAGGTAGTGTATTATGTTATACATAAGTATTCGTATAATTACCAAATGCAGTTTAGGTCTCCTTCGAAAATTAAAGCATGACTTTCTATAAAACATACACTGAAACACATACACACGCACACACACACACACACACATATATATATATATATATATATATATATATATATATATATATATATATATATATATATATATATATATATATATATATGCATATAAGTTTATGAATATATAATATATATATATATATATATATATATATATATATATATATATATATATATATATATATATATATATATATATGCATATAAGTTTATGAATATATAATTTATTTATGTGTTTAGTAATAATTTAAAATTTATAATATTAATAGGTATTTCTTTTTTTTTATAGCTTCACTTACCATTGCTATGGTTGTAGGTAAGACATATATGTGTAGCAAATGTGCTACATTATTTTCAATTCTATTTTACGTTTCCTTAAAAAAAAGGTCCAACAAAAGTTTGATGAAAATTCATTTGATTAAAAAAATGGTACAGCTGTTATAAAATTTTGGTTTCAATTATGGTCGATCATTTAATTTAAAATTTGTATCGACAACATTAATGAAATTGCACACGGCATAGTGTATGAATATTGAGTGGAACATTCATAAAAATACGAGCTTTCGATCGAATGAAAATGTATTAGCTGTAATAGAATCAATAATTTGGAACGTCAGTAGTTTGATGAAATAATCCTGTTACATGTTGATATAATTAATAAAAAATAACACTTAATAAAGTTCGTTATCCTAATTTTCATTATATATATATATATATATATATATATATATATATATATATATATATATGTATATATATATATATATATATATATATATATATATATATATATATATATATATATATATTAATATATACATCTTTCGAGAAATGGAATTAATTTTATACTTATGATTATTTTTGTTATAATAAAATGTCTCTATGGGTAATAGTTTTAAAAAAATACTTACAAAATTTAGTATGCGCGTTGTTTTTCTTAATTTTAATTATTTATACAGAACGGACTGTAAACACCAAACAACCGAAAATATGTTTTATTAAATATTATTATGATATGAAAATGCAACGGCATTGGAATAATTTATTTAGAATAAAATTAATTAGACACAAATATTAATTTTCGGTGTATTTTAATTTTTTTTTTCTGTATGAATACATTTTTTCAGCTTCTCAAACAGGGACGAAAGAAGGTATTTTGTTGATGTAGTTTTAATTAAGTATAGATCTACATCCTGCTTGTTATCTAATGAATTATATAGTTATGATTTTTGTTTTGTTGTGAGGATTAAATGCTTCAAGTTATTGTTTTTTTTGTGAGATATCAAAAACCTGATTTCATATATTTATATGAAACTTATAAAGTTTATTTTTCAATTGTGTATGTACACAGAACAGGTCTTACGCGCGGTAGTTGAAGGGGTTAATACCATCCAATCGCAAAAGTGTCTTGAAACCAAATTAGAAAATTGCTCAACAGAATTTACTGCCGCAAAAGATGAAAAAACCGACCTTAATATACAATGCGGGTAAGAAACACTATTACAACAGCCATTACCATTGCAATAGGTATTTATTTCATGAAATTGATCATTCGATAATCAACTAATCTTTTGATTAAAAAATAATTCTATATAGATAATTTAACTCGTAAACACACATTTTGAAATTCACTATATATATATATATATATATATATATATATATATATATATATATATATATATATATATATATATATATATATATATATATATATATATATATATACGTATATATATACATATACATATATATATATATATATATATATATATATATATATATATATATATATATATATACGTATATATATACATATACATATATATATATATATATATATATATATATATATATAGTGTTGACTATATTAGATTTTTACAAAACAAGTATTACGTACTCAAATACACAAATGATAAAGAGTGGATGAAGCGCATAGAATATATTTAGCCATTCTGGCATTTAGAACAAGATTGCTAGGTCTGCTTGTGTTCTATAATTATTTTTCTGTAAACAATTGTAAAGAACATAGTAAAATTAAAGCATGTGTGTTCAAAATTAATTAGCATACAATTACTTGGTTTGTATTTAAGACACCACTAGACGTACATATGAGATAAATGTGATAATGAGCGTTGTGTACATTTTCACAGGTTAGCCAACACGTATTTAACATGTCTGAAGAATCAACATTGCATTATCAATGAAGAAATCAAACCATGCGGTAAGCAGATATTATATCCATCTGCAACATATCCAGTATAAGTGTAATATAAAGCAAAGCAATCAATGTGTATACATGATACCCAAACCCAAACAGTAGTATTTGTGAGCTAAATTTATGCAACGAGTTTTAAGGAACTTACAAATAGTTGTGCACATATAGGTTGCTCGAATTTAAATATTGTTTTTAACCTAAACGTAGCTGCTTTATAATAGAACTATATGGTGTATAAAAGCAGTACGATAAATATAAACGTATATAATTTGCAATGTTTTGTTACACCCTCTTATATATAACATTTTCTTAACCATTATTTTAATTCCATATGTATTTTTATATTACGCCCTATAACTATATTTATCAACTTCAATCTTACCGACGTAAAACATTTCAATTTTTTTAATTTTCTCGATCAGCTACAACAAGAAAGAAACGACAGGCAGGTACATACATTTAAATATATCTATGTATACTTCTATATAGATATTTGTATATATACTTTTATATGTTTAATCAATTATTTTGATTTTTAGATTATAATTTATTTTGATGCAATTACACAATAATTTCTTGTCATATTTCCGATTTGATAACAAAAAGATGACTCACAAGTAGTTAAGAAAAACGCTGTGGATGCAATACTCGCCTTAACATGTAAGACAGAGGCTTGCACATTCAACAAAACAAGCGTGATGCTCTCGACAACAAAGGAACTGGTCTGCAAGTAAATCAATTGACTTTGGTTTATATTATAGGGTTTCTATTGTATATATTTTCTGCTAAAGGTCTGCGCAAATATAACATATTTTAAAATATATGAGTATATAACAATCAGCAGCATGAACTAGAAATCTTGTATTTTACAAACAAATACACATATTTGTGTTTCGCCATTTTAAATGAATACTTTTCAGTTATTTAAACAATAATATGAATGGGAGAGCGCATAGCTGATAACCCAAACTCCCAAGTTTGAATATCGTTCCCCCAATCTCCCCTCATCTTGTGTGGGCAGAAACGGCTCGTTAGCTGGGGACTTGAACCCATCTAGAAGAGAAAACATGTAATCAAATAGGCCTGGAGCACCTCAAAAGAAACGGCTGTGATCTATGGTTTCCTTTCTGCAACTTCTTCAAAAAGTCTGTTACAAAACGTACTGCCTAACATTTCGTGTGACTAAACCGGTCAATATCAAGAAGGGGATAACGAGCCCCCCCCCCCCCCCCACCCCTAAAAAGCCGTGACATATTTTGATAAAAATATAAAATTTTGCATTTTCAACAATCCCAGAACAGTTTTTTTAATATTTAGAAAATGCGACATTAATTTAACAGAACAAAAGCGTGGGTCTCTTCTCAAATATTAGTAAAGGTATCCAATAGGTACTAAAGTGACCCACGCTTTTCTTTATAGTAATTTAAATAGTAGTGTATAATTTATTTTCTACTTTTTAGTGCATCATTACATAAAAGCTTGTTATTAAAAAGTTTTTTATGAATTTTTTAAAATGATTATCATTGTACTTTAAATAACTTTACAAATACGATGACACATATTATGGTGTGCATTTTACATTTTTAGAAACATGGAAACTTATGGAGAATGTTTGAATAATGCCTGCAAAGACAACGAAGATTTGGCGAAAAATATAACACGCATTAATGCAATCTGCAGTAAGCTTTTTTAAAAATCGATTTTTTATAACAAAGGACTTAAATTATACAAATAATATAGATGCTCATATTTTAGTTCATATAAACATTGCTTAATAGGTTTATTTCCACAATATACACTTTTATTTAATAGATCGAAGTTCAATAACATTGTTGATCATGTATATATTTGTTCATTTAAAATACTACTTATACTGTTTGAAACTAAGAATTTCCTCAAAACGCAAATACAATTTACTTTAATGTGTTTTATATATTATAAAATGCATGCAATTATTACAACTCCTAAAAGGCATCGCTGTGCTTAAATAAAATAAATGTATATGTAAAAGAAATACATTTTCGCTTGAAATTATAAGTCTAGGTATGATTTTCATATATATATATAATTTTGTTTTTGTTAATTAAAAAGCAATAGTATTCTTTTTTCCCCGTTTCAGATGGTTCAGGTCATTTTCAAATAACGTTCTTCGCAGTGTCCTTTGCAAGCTTGCTTCATGCATTTATTCAAAACTAAGCTGAGACTTCTCTTTCGACTAACCTTACCGAAACTTGGATTTTTCTTTAGATTTGCTTTTTTTAAACTAAAATACAATTTATTGTATACGGTCGATGACTCAGTAACTCAACCACCTAAACAATTACTTATTTTATTTTAAAAATGATAACTACCTTTTATTACAGCTTAAAATCTCTGCAAATTTTGGTTTATCAAGCTGCAATAATTTTTTAACACACAATATGTGCGACAAATATTTATTGTGTTGTTGGTTGATACTGAAGAGCACCTATACAGTAATTTTTGTATACATTAGCAAAGCACATGATTCACTGTTGACCTGAAATTATTCATAATCCCATCTAATTTCTTGTATAATTAAAATAGCAAAACTTTTCTTTAAACTGAAGTTTATTTTTATGAGTTTACACTACTTAGAAACACACTAACCAACTTATATGTACACACTAAAACTTACAATTAGCATTATCTCTTTTATATACAGCTCGTTTCTATCGATAATATAGTATCCAATTATGTATTGTGTTTAATAAACAAGATAAACAAATATAGTTACATGACATTACACAAAATATTTTTTTATATTTTTACATATTATCTACTTTATTTAATAGTGTTAAATGATGAATAAATATCTGCAATTTCATATTTGTATTTTAAAATTATTTCTTGAATGAAAGTTTATAAATTTTCGACTGAGAAATGCCCTAGGGATTGATAATATTTCTTCTGCATTATTTAAATACGAGCTGTCTATATGTGCACAATTATTTGTTTATACACAAAACTCTCTGCATAAATAAAGTTGATTTTCAATACTTAGAGGTCATCGGATTCTGTGAATTCGGCATATAAAGGGATATGGTGGTCAGCACTATGCCCTTCCGCCTTTACTTTTCCTAACGTTGGTTTGGTATCCATCAGAGCTGGGTAGACTCCGGTACATTCTACTGACACGAACCCTGATTTGAACTCTTTTTATTTCGGGTCTAACTCTCTACTGCTATGCCACTCCGTCCCATAATTTCAGAAACAAAGCTAGATAAATCGACGGGCATGTGTCAAAACCTATCAGCAAATTAACTGAATAATGTTTCGACATGCCAGAAAATGTTTTGTATGTGCAAAAAAATATTTTTTTGCTATTCTATTTTTAAAACAAAATCATTTTAATATACATTATAAACACGCCAGCACTAGTGTTTCTTTCCGGCATCTCCTTGGGGATGGGATGCAGGACGCATACAAAAAGATTAACATAAGAAAAAAATATTTACTTTAACCGGTGTCCTCTCCTCTGAAGTCTTAAGTGCACCCACCCTTTCTCGGAGAAAAATAAACCGGGAGTGATCTCCCCTAAACTTTCTAGAATATTCTTATATAAAACAACAGGGGATGGGAACCCGGGCTATAGACATGATTTTTAACCCAGTTTAAATACTCAAAGTTTTAAAAATAGAATAAAATCTCGTAGACAAAAGAATTGCACACCAAGTGAACACCGAATTTAAAAAAAAGTGCATAATAGTGCGCTATATAATTAGTACTTTAAAAATTTACATAAATTTTTTGAGAAATCGGAAGTAGCGTAAATTACTACTTCAGATCAACGGAAATTACTCAAAATTTAACAGAAGGTAGAGAATTAGATCTTATACTTACATGTGAAATTTGATTTATCTATCTGAAACAGTACACAAGTTATAGGCTTTTGAAAAATTCAAAGTAGAAAAAGTACCACTTCCGGTTATTGGAAATCGCTCAAAAGTTGTTACGGATCTACGATTTTGATAAAATACTTATATATGAAATTTCATCAACCTAGCTGTAACGGTACTTAAGTTATCGTGTTTACACACGGACACACAGACAGACAGACAGACACACAGACATACGGACAGAATTGCAAAGCCCAGTTTTTCAGACTGGATTACGCATAAAACCTCTTAATTTTGATAAATCTGGATTGATAATTTTTGCCCGATTAAAATAAGTCCTCTATACTTCGGATGTGATGAAGGACTGAGGTGTAATACGGTGGAAATTGTTAAAATTTCAAGTGATTTTTGTGCACGATTACAATACTTTCTCTATACTTCGTATATACGAGAAAGTAAAAAGTCAGAAAGAACTCAAATAGAACACAGGCTTTGCAAAGTTAGACAAGAACTGTAATCAAGAGTATACTTCTAGGTATTGTATAGTGTGCACTGATTCTATTGTAACCTGCAAGCCAGATGAAAAGTCACGACTTTGGTACCTAGGCTTAACAAAAAAAAAGGTTATTTCTTACCTAACTGCTGATTATGTTCATACCTAAGAGGAACGTTTACCCGATGGAGAGATCACCATAGGGAGACAAACAAGTTTAGTGTTTAGAAATATTGAAATCAATTAAGCGTTCAGAAAATGTTGGCAGATCACAACGTCGAGGCCGAAGACAGCCAATGTTTCCAGTGAATATGTGGACCATGCAATGCGTGCCGAAGGCGGCTTGCCAAAAACAAATAATTCCGACTGGAACCTAAGTTTCCATTTCAATAGAGGATGCTGACATACAAATACCTTTAATTTCGTTGGGTTCAGTATAAACAAACTAACTCCCTACGAAATGTAACGTGCACAGGACAAGGTTTACCACAAAAAAGTTTATTGATAACAGCGTCAGAATAGCAATTGTAGATCAAAGTTTTATGCGCGTTCAATATTAGAGTATTTACGAGACATTGACTAAAATATCTCATTTTAATATTTCTATTAACTAAAATTATTCATTCCTAATAAATATCGTTCTTCCACTTTTGGTTGTTATATTTTTATTTAAGACTAGACTACCCGTTATCTAGTTAGATAACTGTGGGTTTCGGGGGTCATCAATAAATGACATCACGTATGTCACTAATCATCACAAAATAACCACACCCCACATTCAAAAAGGCGTCACATCTCAGACATTTTTGGTTTTTAAAAACACTTACTTTGTCTGACAACATAATCTTTTCATATGCTGAGGTCACAAAAACAGGTCAACTCTACTTCACCTGCACAGTGTCCTCCCAACTCAGACATGTTTTTGTCTGTGAAAACACAGATTTTGGCTGAGCGTGGGTCTGACCACACTATCTCTTCATATTAATATGCTGTCGTCACAGGTGAACTTTACATCTACCCAGCACTACTTCACCTGCCCAGTGTTCCGCCAAGTCTCAGACAACATGTTTTATCTTTTAAAAAAAAGATTCATGGCTCTGACGACACTATCCACCTTATATACTGAGGACAAAGAAACAGGTGAACTCTACTTCACATGCCCTGTATCCCGCTAAGTTCCAATAGGGAAAGGCAACATAATCATTCACAACTAAACCCAAAAAAAAAAAAAAAAAAAAAGTTTGCACAAGATACATGGGGCCGCTACACAAAGCTCCTTCTATTTTTGTCTGTGTCTGTCAATTTTCCGCTCTGTGTTTCCTTGAGATATTATTTAGATTCATTCTTTAATACGTGCCAAATTCAGCCTCAAATTCTTTTTGTTTCTATAATTTCGGTAATTGTTCCAATTCCATCTCTCCGAGAAGAGATGATTTTATGCCGGAAGATGCCTTTTTTGTACAGTTATAGTTAAAGTAAAAGGCTCAAACATAATTTTATTGCAGCGCTATTTTCTCAGTTTCATTGTTGTTTTTGTTATCACTTTACTTGAAAAATTAGTTTTTGTAAAATAATTTTTGAAATTACTATAACTCCGATGTAGAGACTGCAGTAATAATACAAATTGTGGCCTTAAATAATCAAACGAAATACTTTTTAAAAATTAAATATATTAACGCAACCTTTTTTGTAAATACCCATAGCATATAATGATTTTAACAGAGACTAGCTATTATATTATGAGGTCATCGGCACGAGGAGGGATGGTAGTTCCTTAGGCACTCTGTCCAGCCTCCTTTTCGTAGTTGCGTATAAACAATAAAATATATTTTATTCGATCAATCTAAGTGCATAAGCTTCCAATAGCGCTATAGTTTTTATACATACTTCCAAATATCCCTAGTGTAATCTCCGAGCTAGGGGGTTCAAAACATGCCTTATCTTTATAACTTTTATCTTTTTTTTAACAAAAAAAAATTCTAATTAAATCTCTAATTAAAAGAACTGTATAGTTTTTTTATATATTGCTAAAACAAGTATTGGGTGAAATGGTGTCAATCAACGTTGAAATTTTTATTCGTCACGCCCCACTCCACTCATTAGCCGTGAATATAAAACGGGCTGGAACTTTTACTCCTTTAATTAGTTGTAGAAAATAAATTTTAATGTTGGACCAATATGCTGCAACGAGTTGGAAGGTAAATAAAAATCTCAAAATATAATCTGAAACTTTAATGTTTTCGTCGATACTTATTTATTTTTCATAATAAAAAGTAATGTTCACGTATATTTAAAGTAAGTTAAATAATAGTGGTTTTATAGTATGCATGGAAAAAATATTTTTATTAAAATGTTGAACCATAAATTATTACAATATTCTAACAAAATCATGTCTATAAGATTAGATTTTATATAATTTAATGAAATAAAACTATTAATTACATATAAACTATATCTTCCAATTTTGTATTAAAGAAAATTGAAGTTTTGATCTTTGATTCGGGAAATAAATATTCTGCAAAAAAAAAAAAAAAAAAAAAAAAAAACTAGGATAAAAAAAATATATCTTTGAATACTCGTTTTTTTCTCATCTCTATCTCTCAACCAAGTCATACCACTTAGCTGAGACGATGATTGAAACGTTTCATAAATTAATGTCAGAGTTTCTTCCAGGCACCTCTTCGGGGGGGCTTTGCCCTCCCGAAATTTTTTTACCGCCCCCCCCCCCCCCAAACGAAATGAAATTTATATAATTTATTTTATAGAAAATATATACTTTTAACAGTGTCCGCCCCCCCCCCCCAGGAAGAAAGTCTACCGCCCCCCCCCCCGAAAATTTCAAGTACCCCCCCGGAGAAAAAAGTCTGTAAGAAACACTGATTAATGTATATATCAATTATATGCATGAATGGGAACATTTTTGTATTGAAAGCTATTTTTTTTATATTTAATATAAGTCGGTAATGTGAAGATGGAAAATATTTTCTGTCTATGCTTTCATGTTACTGCTGCTAAAAGATGTAAGTCAAGTTTTTCCTAACGTTTTAACAATATACCAATAAATATAATTACATTTTTTTAAATAAGGGTATACATATTCTGCAATTAGATTTCTTAAGTTTACTAATACTATTTTCAATTTTTATAAAGTTATTCAAACATTAGAAAAGACACGGTTGAAGGTCTAAAGAAAATTTGTTAAAACCTAATTGAATTATTTTTTATTGAAGTGCTTAGGTTCTGTGGTGCAAAAAAAAGAGGAACGAAAAATCAGGACGAATAAAAAGGTTTATATAGGCTGGCAACATAATAGCAACAATGGTTAGTTGATACATCATTTTGCGGTTGATTTGACTTCAAACCTTCGTCCAGGCTTTCCTTCACGTGTAAGAATCATATTATAAAAAATGTATGCAATTCGTACAATTTAGTTTGAGTTCACAGATACAAAAGTAAGGTAATACGTTGAAATGAAATTATTCATTACGATAAAAT